AGCAGCTACATCTGAGGCCACTGCAGAAGGGATGTAACAACGTTCAGATTTTCCTCCTTTGTGTCTAAAGTGCTTGTATTAGCCGCGGATTTTGTGGGGTGATTAAATTGATCGTTAAAAGCATTTATCCCATCACTACCTTCTAGAGCAGAAAACAGTATTAGGATTTGAAAATAGATTTCACTGTAGCCACCGCACTCGAAGGCACCAGGATCAATGGTGTTGCTGCTTCGAGGGGGTTGTTTGTTAATTTATTTAATTTTCCGGAGTCAATTAAATTGGAAATTGCGGAACAGTTCGGGCACGTGAAAGAGGCGGTTTGCAGATTGCTGGGTTTTGTGTCTGTGGTCAGCTGTCGGACCCTTGATCCGGCTCGCCAGAGTCGCACTAAGCAGCCCGACACACCCTCTGGCATTGCCACGGTGCCATTCTCTCCAAATAAGCAAACGCTTGTTTTAAGGTAGACTAAGGCAAAACCTCCTCTGCTTAAAGAACTCGCCTGCTTGAATACCCTCCCCCTTCTTCTAATTATTATTTGTCAGTTATTAATTTGTATGTAGACCTTGTCCTAAATCCTCAGAACTAGACACAAGATCCGTTCACGCTTTAACAGGCTTGAGGCAGTAGCCCGTGGCAAAAAGAATACGGTCTCGATAGCAAAACGGATCCAAATGATCGCATTCGCACGCATGCAATCTGCCCTGGGCGCATGCTAATTGCAAAGCTGGAAGTGGTTTCAGCCGTCGCAGGGAAGGTTCCATGGAAGCGCTAAAGCGGAGGCGCGTTTTGTGACCACTGCAAAGCGTTCGGTGTCGCGATACAGAGACACGGCAACATTTTACCTGCTGGGATGATCTCAAAAACAAGAGCATCCATCTCACCCCTTTAGTCCGGGAGTCCGAGCCGCACCCTGTCTCTGTCTTTGTAAAGGAAAATCTGAAATCGCATAGCACGATCTGAACATATTACTCAGCATCATTGTATCCTTCCTAAAATGCCATTGATAGAGAGAAGGGGGTTGGTGGGGCCGTGTGAAATGAGAAACCAAATTCAGAATCAGTGGGGCACTGGTATAAATCGATTCCCAGAGGAGAATCGTTCGATTGGATGTGACATTTCCTATCGGATTGGTTTTAAATGATGAATTCTCTCTCCCACCCAACCAAACCAGCAAAACTCCACCAGGAGCCAGCTGTCTGTCGCCCACCAACCTGCCCGAGAACAGCAGAGTTACAATGTACAAAGAGAAATGAAATCTTAAGAATATTGAAACAGATTTACCTTGGTCTACTACGGGCCTTTTGGAAATGAAGAAGTCACGTTTGATGCTAGCAACAAACTTTTAGTGTCGCTCTAGGTCAGGAGTGGTCTCTCAACATTAGGATGTTAACGAGAAAAGGCTTAAGAAACCCCTGGCCTTCTTTGCTGGAGCAGCAGCAGCAGCTAGTGTATCCTTCACCGTAGCTGATGGAGCAGAAAGAAAGGGCTCTAATTAATTAAGTGCGCCCGATTGTAAGGGGTTTAGTCACTTCTGAGTTTTGTTATGGGATCTGCCCAATTATTCCTAATAGCGCCATTGAGCTAACATAGTGATAGAAATGTAACAAATGATTTTTGTTTGGTTGGTCTCTCTCTCTCTCTCAAACGCCCTGGCTGGCTCGGAAGCTTTTCCCCTGCACCTGCACGTTTTTCATTGAACCCAGCAAAAAGCCATTAGCAGTCAAAATGGGGAGGAAAGGGGGAGAGAGCGCTTCAACTTTTCAAGAGCACTTTGCCTGAAAGCGCCCGGGAGCTGGTATTTTAAACCCCGCTTCCGCTGGGGCGGGCTGGCAAGGAGAGAGGGCAAGAAGAAGCCACTTTCGGATGAATGACCTGGTGGAGGGAAACCTGCAGCTCATTGTACTCGTTTCCGGGCACGGAGACTAGCCTTTATTTTCAGTGCGGTCCCAGAGGTGCGCTCGCACCAAACCACACCTCTCTAGGCTCCGGGCACAGGCGATGAGTTTGCTCGGTCTCAGCTTCAGTCAGAGGGACAGGGAACAGCCGCACATAGGACAGGGCTCGAGCGGTCCCGGCTGAGGAGAGAAACAAACACACATCGGATTAGGGTCCCCTCCACGCTGAGTCCGGGGACATTTTGAGCACGTATCTATTCCAAACGCAAGCGATTTCCTTTCTGGAAAACAGGGCCTTGCGGGGCAATCCTGATCGTTCTCATAAACCCGAAAACACTGGGAAGCTAGCTAGTTAGGGCATGGTTTGTTACCGCTGCAACGGGAATATTTGGAAGGGGACCAAAAAACACGTTAGGCAAAGAGGAATTCACTAGATTTATAATGATAACGAGGATATTTATATCATCCATCTGTTTATAATAGATTTTTAATCATTTCCAAAATAGCTCCGTAATCTACAATACACCACACACCATATATATATGCGCGCACACACGTAATCTCTCGAATAGGTGAGTGCATGTTTCCACACACACTTTCTGTAAACGGTTTAAATCTCTTCTCTGTGGAGAGTGGAGTTCGTCCTCTTCCTTTAAGCCATTAGCCCCTTTCTCTTCCATTACAATCGTTATCATTAGGCAGCAAAGCCGTTGCTTCTGGATTCCTTTCCTTAAACTTCATCTACCCACACTTGCTGTGCAATCCTGGCTTGTATACCCCCCCCCCAACTGTTTTTTCTTGGGGGGCAAAGCGGGTGGAGAGGCAACTTTTTCATTTTCTGGCCTGGTTTGGGCAGCTCGGCAATAAATAAATAAATACATTTAAAGTTTCGAAATTCCACTGCAAACAACACCCGCAGCCCGGATTGAATCGCCTTGTTTACCTTTTTCTTGTGGCTTGTTGTGCTAATTGACTTGTTTTCTCCAAGGAGAACCTACCCCTCTGAACATCCCCACCCCCTTTTTTTTTCAAGGCGTTGACTGCTTTTCAGGAAACTGCGATTTGTGAGAGTACCTACCCATTTTTAAGGGAGAATCCCTGACCCTTTTGTGTCTGCCGTATCGTGTTATAGGAATTACTCTCCTATTAAAAAAAAAAGCAACAAAAAAAATTGATTTCCATCCAAAAGGGCTAATTACATTACTTACAGTAAATAGCAGCCCTGCTGTCCAGGGTCTAGTGTGCCAACCGAGAAAAAAATACCGGCTTATTTCACTTGATTGGCTCCATCTTTGTGTGAAATTGTGTTTTATGAGCTGTATTCTGGCACTGGAAGGAATGTAGCAACACTCAATCTGCAAATAACATTCATTTCAGCTACTTGGGGCGAAAGAGAAGGGAAGATTTGGGGGTTACATGGGCGGGGGCGGAGACTCCGGGAGTCCCTGTTCGAAAGGAAATGGGGGCTGGAGGGGGTGTTTTCACGAGTCATGCTGGAGTTTAGGGCGGAAGGCCACTAAGGGAGCCAGGGGAGCAGAACCGCCGCCAGGAAGATCCTGCAGCGGGGATTGAGGTGTCAGGAAACAGCCTGCAGCTGTTGCAGAGAAAGGCAAGGCGGAGAATGGTGTGAAAAGTAAGTGTGGAGAACCGAGAGCTGGCCCAGACTGACTGTCCCACCCAGCCCTGCACACAGCGCTCGCTGGCACCGGCGCAGCCAGCTGAAATCCCCGTTTCTCCCCGGGGGTTGTAGTGCGCGGCGCAGCGCTGCAGCTGGGGAATGGTTCCGGGGGGGCTTCCTCCCTGCCCCATAACCCCCCTCCCCAGCTCACGGGACAAGGTGGGGCTGCGGCTGGGGTTTGCTTGCACTGTGAGGCTGAGGGCGAAGGACCGGGGTCTGCGCCCGGCTGGACGTTAACACGGCTGGAAGTTTAAACTTCACCTGGGAGGGATGCGGGGGGGGGGGTGTTACTGATCCCCCTGCGGCTGGGCAGGAGCAAGGTGCCTGGCGCTATCCCCAGCGTGCAATCTCTGCCCCGAGTCTGCGGTTACGTCTTCCACGTGGAAGCCTGGATCCACCGGACACGAGCGGGGCTAATTATCCAGCATCATTTCCGTGGACACAATAACTGGGGGAAGGGGGAGGTTGCTTAATGCTCTTTGGTTAATTACACTGCTGGCAAGGTCCAGCCGCTCCCCAAGATAGTAACCTCCACCTACGCCCACAAAGGTGTTCTCCTCATTTTCCTGCCACCACCAAAGGGCCCAAATGGGGGTGAATCTGGGGTCTATAGGCGGCCTTGGCCATTCAGCACCACCAAATGAGACAATAAACACTGCAAGATCCTGCACTTCTATAGGCGAAGCTGGGGGGAGGGGGAGGCGAGATGGGAGAGACCCACCAAAACAGTCCAGTCGCACTTCTCAGCTCACCAACCCTGCACAGGATGCTCTGAGTTTCCCTTGTGCCTGTAACCCCCGTTTCCTGGGACTGTGTGTGTGTGTGTGTGTTTGGGGTGGGGTGGGGGTATAGATCCCACCCCAACCACCATCCCCAACTGGCATGTTTGTCACTGCTTGCCCATCACCGGGGGTTGAGAGGAGGATGACAGGTCTTTGTTGTCTGAATAAAAATCAGTGGCAGCTCTAGGGAGAGAACTCCTCCTACTAAATTATCAAAAATGGGCTGGCTTTAGTCTCTTAACAAATTGGACAGAGCTCCGGAAAGCAGCAGTCCCAAATCCAACCTACAGGCACTGGGAACTTTAAAGCAACCAGGGACTGCTGAAAATAGCACTTCTTTTTGCTTTCTTTGTGTTCAAAACTATTTCCTTTCCCGGCCGATTTGGCTGCCCCTAGTTCCAAGTCTCTCCAGTCAGGAGCCCCCGCTCTCCAGCGCAGTAACAGATTCTCCTGCTTGGTTTTTTTGTTTTGTTTTTGTTATTCTTACTATATTATTTTTCTTCTCCCCCTTGTTTGTTTTCTGCACATCTTCAGGAAGCCCTCGGTGCTTGTGCAAAGAGAAGCCACTATTGCAATCTCCCTCTGCCTGAGCCGTGCGCCTTGGTGTAGACATTTTGGATGATCTAAAGACTCTGGGGTCTGTATATGGAAATAGTGGGGTGCAGAGCAGCAGAAAATACTTGTCCTTTCCGTCCCCCAGTCATGCTTTTCCACGGGATCTCCGGAGGCCACATCCAAGGAATCATGGAGGAGATGGAGAGGAGATCCAAGACCGAGTCCCGCCTGGCCAAAGGCGGACAGATGAACGGCCGGGAAACGGTAAGAAAGAAGCGAGCACCCCTTTAAAGGGAATCACTGCAAGATACGAGCCTGCACCCTGATAGACACAGCCTGGGGGAAGAGAGAGACTCTGCTTTCCTCCCTCCCCCATTCCCTTACGCCCCTTAAGTTTAGAAACATTTCTGAGGCTCACGTTAAACACCAATCGCTCTCTAATGGAGTCTGTTATGCTGGGAGGCTGAGCCATGCATTCGTCTAATATTTGTGTGTGTGTGTCTATGTGTGTGTGTGTGCGCGCGCGCTCAACTGAGTCATAAGAGGGAAAATATTTTAAGTTTCATAAGAGGGACACGTTTTAATTCATTACAGCGAAGCAGACCTCTGACTCCTGCATAGTTTGCACTGGGGGCCTTGCTTTCTCGTTTATCAAGGGGCTACAGGCCGGGTTTTGAAAAGGTGCATTTTACCCTTAGCAGCCCTGGCACTTTCCAAACTGGATTGTAGAAATCTTCGCTGCAAAATAGTTTGTTTTCTTCCGGGCGAGGGGCAGTGTTTAAAGTAAAAATGTAGCTTTAATGTCTGAAAAGGGAGCAGCCCCGCTGAATGTTATTTCTTACGATACATTGTCTGGAAATAATATCTCTTTTCTTAGCAAACGAGTTGAAACCTTAGCACCCCACGTCTGGAGAAACGGTCCCCTAGCTTCATGCAATATCTTCTGCAAAGCGAGCTTCTGCCTTTCTCCTACTTGTAGGACTTCCGTTGAGCACTAGAACACAAAGTAATCGCCTGGGGAACTGCTTTACCGAGCTATTGGGTCCCCTCCCCCCCCGTTAAATAAACTCCTGAGGGTTTTACAGTGTTAATTCAACTCATTCCCCCAGTTGTTACAAAAAAGGAAAAACATTGAATTGCGTTTGCATTTGCAGCTAAAAAGAATTCGGTGATAAGAACAAATGGATTTTTACTTTTCATAAAAAACAAAACAAAACCCAACTATTTTAAGTTCACGTTTGGGGGGGTTAGTCTGGTATGTACACTATCCCTCCATCTCCGTTTCTTATTACTGCGATTTCTTATGGAAAACAGGCCAACAGAAACTTGAAAAAGTTTATTCATGAAAGGAAAAGTCAATAATTTTAAGGGGGAAACCCTCCCTGTGCATTCTTTTCATTAGGATCACTCTCCAACATTTTGATTGTTCTCAATTAATTCTTCATGGACTATTTTCCCTTCATTTCAGCTTTAAGTGGCCTATTTGCATTTAGAGGAGGGGTTTTAAATAGTTTAAGCTGTATTCAAATTTAACAGGAATTCGAATTGGGAGTGTCTCCACTGATGCAAATTTCCAGGGCAGCAAGGAGATACTTTCTTGTAAAATACTCGCTAGTCTGGATTTCCTAGCACCAAAAGGTGCAATTTTAAAGCTAACGGGGAAGATACATCCAACTCTGTAACTTCCCCAGGACTAGAAAACAATCAGTTCTCGTTTCCTAGTGAGGCCTAATCACCGGGCTACAGGTACAGAAATGAAGTTACATCATTAGAGAAGGTGTAATGGGCTAAACAGCCAAGTCGTGTCCTAGTAAATACTTCCCTAGGGGAGATGGTCTGGCCCCCTCAAAGGCCAGAGCAAATGCAGCCAGTTCGGTTCCAAACAGATGGTTTTTTTTTCTGTGAGCCCTGCCTTTGGTTCTTGCGGCAGTCCCAGTCCAAGCATCACACCGCCCGCTTGTCTTGATTTGCTTTCTCATCCACTTTTGTGTGGTTGTTTTGCAGAACATGCCCCCAATGAGCCCCGAGAAGCCTGCTTTGTGTGCTGGTTGTGGAGGGAAGATCTCAGACAGATATTACCTGCTGGCTGTTGACAAACAATGGCACCTCAGGTGTCTCAAATGCTGTGAATGTAAACTGGCTTTGGAGTCAGAACTCACCTGCTTTGCCAAGGACGGCAGTATTTACTGCAAGGAGGATTATTACAGGTACAGCACTCAGTCCCTACCGGTCCAAATGCACATCCCTTCCCAGAACAGCAGCGGCCAAACCGCTCATCTCCAGCTCGGGATAGCTTCTTATAGGCAGAGACTCCTCGTTTATATACACGTGGCTTTAGGGCAATTGTATCAAATGTGCCCCCTTTGTAAATCGCGCACGTGTAAAATACTGATCGACATTTTCAAGAGACAAAGTTAAAGCATGTTACGATATAAACAACAACAGGAGACAGTCAGTTTCCCACTGGTCTAGGTGCTGTGGATCGCTGCCTAAATTTCAAACAAAAGTTTCCCTCTCGCTGTAGCGTGTATATTTATTTCCTGTTTCACAAGAGCAGGGGTCACCCTCCTGAACTGGCTAGGTAATGGCAAAGCTCCGGTTTGGAGAGACGCTGTAAAAAATAGCAGAGACAGCTCTTATTAATACAACAAACCATCCTTTCTGCTAAATCAAATCAACTCCTTCCAGCTCACGACTAGATTTTTAATTCTCACCGGTCAGTGGCTCTAGACAGGCAGAATTCCAGCAGAGCGCAGTTTCGTGGCTTGCTTGATTTGTTTTGATTTTCTGTTTTTTTTTCCCCGGGTGCCACGTTCTCTCTCCCTCCCAGCCTCTCAATCTGGTTTACGGTTTAAGGAACGAAAGGGAAGTGAGAACAAGTTTTCTCCCAATGCTGCTTATTTATCTTCATTAACGCTAGTCGAGATGTTGTAAAATAAAATTAAAAAATAAAAAAATCCAGGCAGAAAGATCAGTTTCCTGAGAAAATTAAAGTGGACTATTTCTGGCCCATTCTGGTTTTCTCATACACAGAGTTTCTAACAAGCCCAAAGAGTTTACATTAGCCAGGGCGGAGGCTTCAGGAGAGGCCTACGTGAAGTCCGTTCTCTGAGGGTTGGGTAGAAACGGGTCTAGCTGCAAGATTTGGGGAGCAAATATTTTTAGGCTCTCAGTTCAGGAGCAGAAACGAGGGTGGGAGGTGCGTGATTCAAGTCAGCGGAGCTGGGCAGCACCCGGGGGCTGGGCAGTACCTAGCACCTTCCTGGTTGATGCCCACTTTTCTGTTTCCTTCAGAAGGTTCTCCGTGCAGAGATGTGCCCGCTGCCACCTTGGGATCTCAGCCTCTGAAATGGTCATGAGAGCCAGGGAGTCGGTTTATCACTTGAGCTGCTTCACCTGCACCACCTGCAACAAGACTCTGACCACAGGCGATCACTTTGGCATGAAGGACAACCTGGTTTACTGCAGGGCCCATTTCGAGACCCTTTTGCAAGGCGAATACCCGCCTCAGTTGAGCTATACTGAGCTGGCTGCCAAGAGCGGAGGGCTGGCACTGCCTTACTTCAATGGCACCGGCACAGTCCAGAAAGGGAGGCCCAGGAAGAGAAAAAGCCCAGCTCTAGGAGTGGACATCGTCAGTTACAACTCAGGTGAGAACAGCGCCCTGAACCTTTCACTCCACAGAAAGGGGCCTTCTCAGACTCCCCTCTCCTCCCCTCCCCTCCCCAGCCAGGCAGTGCCTCTGTAACTCAGCCAGGCCAAATCTTGCTTAACCGTTGGAAAATCAAACAAACAGTCCTCTGGGGGCTGGAGCATTTGCAGGAAAGCGAACAGAAGCCCTTCTAAAAAGCTGTCTTCCTCTGTTAATGTCAAATCCCCAGACAGTCACTGCCCAGGGTGAAGACAACACCCCACTCCTGCCCCCAAACCCAGCCCGATGTTTCTGTAGGAATGCGGGAGATGTGGTTGCTTTGATTGTCTCAAAATCAAACCCTCCACCCCTCGGACCCCAATTCAGGGTCACCTAAACTGATCAACAGAAAATAAATCTGGAGGAAACATGTCTGATTTCCGTAGGCCCGCAGGCCTGCATGTGAATCCGTAGAGACGCAGTTGTTGTAACCCATTCCCCAGGCTGAATAGTTTCCTATTTTGCTGGCACTTTTTTTTTTTTTTTTTTTCCCTCTCCTCCGCCAGCAGCTCCCTGCAGCGGGGCAATAACAAGTAGCGTATCTGCTCCGTTCCCAATGAAAGGAAGGGACAACAGCTGAGCTGAAACCGCGTTATTATTTGAAACGCGTTTAACGTTAGTACCTTTGTCATCCAAACATCAGAACTAGTTCCGCACCAGAAAGCGCCACGGGCCCGAATTAAATAGTTTCAGGCAAGTCACACGGAGTTTCACTAACCTGAAGACGAACGAATTAACCGAATTTAAAACTGACCGATCCCAAACGAATGTTTTCACTGAGTTTCGATTTATTCATGAGTTGCCCTGTAACACGGAAAGAAAGGTGTGTGTTGGGGGTGGGGGTGTTACAGTGAGCAGCTTTGTGTTTTCCTGTGTAGGCAGCAAGACTTTTAACTCCCCGTTAAGCTGGGGGGCGGAATTCTGGGCGGTGATCTGCAGTTTGGCTGGGAAAGGCGCCTATGGATGGTGTGTCCATGTCCTGTAATGTGGGGTGCTCGAGGACTCACAACTTGGTTCAATGAAGCAAAGCGCTCTGAAGCGGTCAGCGCGGAGGAGTGCACAGAAAAGGGGACCTGTCTATTTCAGTTTGAAGAAACTGCTCTGCGCTCCATACAAACGCACCAACTCCGGCCTGGAATTCCGTCCCCAAGTTCAACCCACTGCCACCGAGACACAAAGATTCCTCCCTTCCTCCCACCAGCACAAACCCCAGTCCTCCCCGGACGGGCACTTCTCTTTGGGGCTGTTTGTGAAGAGGGCTTCAGTGTGGAACTGCTTGGCTGTGCGAGGCTATTTCAGCTCCTCTGATGCGTGGACCTTGGAGCCAGGGCAATCAGTGCATTAATTGTTCTTTGTTAATTGAAGATGACATTGGAATCCCTGGCCACTGAGCAGTCCCTAATCAATTCCCTAAAGGGTATGACGGAAGGGGAACCTGTAGCCCAGTCACTCGCTTCTAACGGTGGATTGAGAGCCAGGAATTCAATTTTGGATCCATGTTATTCCTTATTCGCATCAATTGTCCGAGCTCCCCCAGACCCCTAGAAACCAAACATTTAGAAGTAATCCACTGTGCTAATTAGGCTCTCAAGCCTGGGGAAAGGCGAAAAAAATTGGCTACAGCGAAAAACCCTTTGAACGCTAATGTGGGGCCCAGTGAAACGCATTTTTAAAGGCAAATGTGGTGTTTGCGTTTGTATGTTAGGCTAAAAAGTCTTTTCTTTCTTTCTCCCAATCGCCCCCGGATAGTTAGCGGGGCCAGTCTCTGCAAAGGAGGTTAAAAAGCCTCATCTAGGACTAGGAGACAAAATGTAGCTCACCCAAACGGGAACGCAGAGTTTACACGGGAAAATGTCCGAGTAAAACGAAGCTACTTCTGACCGGCTTCTTTCGACTCAGTCAAGATCAGCCAATATAATTTTTGTAGCTTTAGCATATCAATTTTGGGGGTGGGGGGGAGGAAAGGGGGAGACTATAAATACTCAGTGCTGGCACGTGGTCTGGAGAAAGTACATTTTACAACTAAACTAAAGACGGTCTAGCGCTGATAATTCCAACCATTGACCAATTTAACACCCAAGAAAGCCACAGAATCTCTGATGGTTTTAGAATGACATGAAATAGATATAACTGTTATTTGAAAGGGAAAAAAACCCTATGCAGTAGGCAGCCATTTAAAAAAAATACATTTTTCCTCGTTCGCCTTTGGCTTCAGGACTGAGAACTATTCTTTTATGTAATTGTCTCCAAAGAGAAACGAATCTAAATAGAAATAAACATACAGGATTCAAAGCGTGAATTTAGAGCAATCGGAAAAGTGGGACACAGATCGGGTGTTTAAACACTTATACTTTCCCAAAGCAGGGAAGAGTCTAAAAGGCAGTATTCTAGGGTATCTTTCTCTCAGATACTAGCCACAACATGTGCTGCCCTTTTGCATATGTAATTAACGGTTTAGCTGGAAACCTAGGTACTGATTCTCTAATCTAATTCAACACAACAGAATAGAAAGGATGAAGTGAAAGTCTTTTGTCAGGCACGATGGATTTGGTTTTAAAATATCACTTTCAATTGTATGTGTCAGGGCAGCAAAAAGGTGTTTTCCCTTTGGTGGTGTTTCATTGAATTCTGTACAAAAGAAAGCCAGTAAGTTTTTCCAACTCTAAAATATTGCAATTCCAAGTCTGTTCTACTTTTCAAACTCCAACATGTTCGAACTGCTAAATGAATGTGTTAGTGACCCCTAGTGGCATCTGTAGGCAGGCGTATTTCTCAGGTAAAGGCTGAAAACTCGTTAAAGAACTATGTTTATCAGAAGCCTGATCATTACTAAAGCCAAAATATTTGTCTTTAGACCTGTTTAACTGCAATTTTACACCCTGATGGGTTCCTGAACATGGACACTAGTGCTCAGTGATTGTTTTGTCTCTTAGCTGTAATTCACTGTGAAAACATCTCTGAACACTAGAACATAATTTAAACATTTCCATAACGTATTTGTGCTAAAACTTATCAAGTTTCGGACTGCACTCTGCAGCTAGGCAAAGGAATCCATTTGTTGTGTCAAAGCTAGATTGTAATTGACGATGTAAAAGAATCTGAAGAGGGGCAAAAACTTACCTTTCCAATAAATCAAGATGCTTTCTTAATCAAAACACATATATCGTCCTATTCATACTGCAAGGTGAAGGACATTATGGAAACAACCCAAACTTCTAAAAAAATGAATTAAATGTGTTGCTAGCCCTGATTCAGCAAACAATTTGATCACACAATGGAGAAAAAGTTTATTCTCAAACAAGATTATATGAATCTTGCTTAGATTATGTGTGTATGTATGTGTATATATTTTATATATTCACACATTCATAAAGAGGCAGGATAGTGTTGTGGCTAGGCACTGGAGTAGGCTCTAGGAGAACTGGGTTTTGTTCTTGGCTCTGACACAGTCCTCTTTTGTGACCTTGGATGAATCACTTAATCTCTTTGTTTCTCTGTTCTTCAGCTACAAACTGGAGACCTAACAATACTTCAGAGGGTTATGACGCTAACACCATTAATATTTGTGAGGGGCTCAGATACTACAGTGATAAGTACCCTATAAATAATGTACTTGATCCATATTAGCTACTATATGTTAGAAATAATTTCTATTTTGAGAGCAACTGTGTTGAACAATTGTCCAAAGGACAGAAAGGTCATCAAATCTGAACAGTTTAAGTTATCTCAAAATGAAGACAATTTTTCTTTCCCTAGAGCAATGTTTTGCACAGCTATTGCTCAAGAACTCGATCTCTTATGGTGTGTAAATGTAATAACTATGCAAAGTGTATTTGGTGAGATCTTGACAATGGGAAGTGTATTGTGCTGGCCACTAAAAAAAAGATGGTGCAAAGAAACATGCAGTAATGTATTGCCTGAATTTGAGCTGTAGACTAGTTTTTCAGGCAATAATGTAGCATTTTAAGCCACACAATGCTATTTCAGCCACTTAGAGAACAGACTGGTGTAATTATTATATAAATTGGGATTGTCAGAGGCACCTGAGGTAGTTATGAGCCCGTGTTCCATTGACTTAGGCACCTTGGAAAAGCCAAGCCATGATAAATAAATAAATGCTCAGAAACCATGGTGACAAATGTGCTATAAGAGGCTAGCTAGGCTAGACAGTCAGATAAACTGGAATTGTTGCTGCATAACTTCAATGCTTTAATAAAGAATGGCCTGCAATTGGCTAAAATAACTTCTTAGGGCCAAATTTTGATATACTTGTTCACCATGAATAGTATTTTACTGCTCAAACAGTCCCACTGAAGGCAGTAGGACTGCATGTGGAATAAAGTGTTATTCAGCAAGAGTAAAAATATTGGAAACCTGATCCTAAGTTACTTCCAAGGTAATTTCCACTTCCAGATGGTTTCAGAGCTGTCAGTTTATTTTATTTGAAAATACAGATATGACTATAATTGCAGCTAGAATCTCTTCCATCCTGGATGAGCATTCACCTGATCCTTTGTTTATGTGTTGTGCAGCTACCATATGGAACTGTTGACTTATCTCTTAATTCAGTAGGGAGCAAAGCTCTGAGAAGACTTGAGCTTTTTATTTTTGGGGTAGTTGAAAGTTGTTTTACCTCTTTCTAGCACTGCAGGTCTCAGAGGCTCTACTGACTGATGCAATGCAAAATGCTAGCTGTGTGTTTTTCATGTTGGTGGGGGGGGGGGAGGGACTGGGAGTTGGCTAAGACTAGTTAATAAATCCAACTGTAGGGAAGTAGACTAAAGGAAATTCAGATGAAGAATTAATGAAGCCTGGGCTAATTTACATGGTACATTCTTAACAATTTTTAAATTATTTTTTTTAAATTCATATTCTTTGTTATGTGACAATCAGGTTTGCCCTCTGTGTGATTGAGCTAGCTTTGTAAAATATAATCCTGAAAGTTATCAGATTATTTTCCAGGCCAAAAAGTATAACATGGATGACTTTGTTATTTTTCTTGGTATTTGTGTCATTCCTGTCCCAAGCATAGGCAGTGACACCATGGTACCCAGCACTACTACTGGTCTGGTGTGCAACTCACACCCATGAGGCAGTAATCTGTAATATATTTCTCATTCAAAGTCACTTTAACAACTTTACACATCATCAAATCAAGGCACATCTTTAGCTCTGTGGTCTTGTAGTTGGCCATTCCACAGAATGGTCTATGTAGGTGCCAATCTAGCTGTGGTAACATTGCAGGCACCAACCCCAACACTTTTCATATAAAATTCTAGACAGAATCCAAATGCATTTATTTTGGGTTTTATCAACAAACAATTCAGTATTTATACTTGTCATAACAAGCCTTCCCACCTAATGCTTCTTTTTTTGCCTAGTGGTGATTTGGGAGGATTCAAAATGTTGGTTTGATCTTTACTCTTCTCTCAAGCTAGGGCAGTTTCAATGAGTGAAATTTTAAATGACTCTTTGGAAACTTAACAAAACCTTCATCACCAGAGGGACCTGAAAATTAATGCCAAAGCAGTGAAACTTGGCAGATCTACCCTCAATATACTGTTTCCTTAGCAGGTGTGAGCCTGGGGGATATAATAAATGTTAAGAACAGGAAAAGGCCATCCTCCTCCTGACCTTTATTTGTTAATCTAAATACCACTTCCTGCCCATCCCGACACCATATTAGCTCAATCCCCTCTTTCTTCTCCAAAAATAGCGTGTGATTCTGGAAACTTGCCTTAGTTTTATTTACTATAGTATGATGCATGATCACCACCAACTCCTTGTTGTGTCATGTTGTTTACTGATCAGGTTGTAATGAGAATGAGGCAGATCACCTGGACAGAGACCAGCAGCCTTACCCCCCATCCCAGAAGACTAAGCGCATGCGCACTTCCTTCAAACACCACCAGCTCCGCACCATGAAGTCCTACTTTGCTATCAACCACAACCCAGATGCCAAGGACCTCAAGCAGCTTGCCCAGAAAACGGGCCTGACCAAGAGAGTTCTGCAGGTAAGAAGACACCATCACAGGCTTGACAAAACTCCCCTCCCCCTGCCAATATAATAGTATCTCCCTTATTTAGACTGTTATATGTATATCTCTTCTTCTTAGTATAATATTGCTGTGTCCCTAGTGAGTGTGCAGAGAACTTTATGGGTAAAGTACTATATGGCAGTGTATAGCTCACCACCCAAATTCAGCCCACAGAATTCTGAAATGTGGTTTGTGATCACCCTCATCCTCGATATGAGGGAACTATCTCCAGAGACTACAAGCCCCAGCGAGGGAAGCAATGCATCGTGGGACTTGTAGTCTCTATGTGGTGACCTCTATATTAAGCGGGTAGAAGCAATCTGCTCCATTTTACACAAATGAGGTGCAGCCTTTGGGCTCCCTAAGTTGTCATTGTGGCCCTTGGTTGGGCAAAGTCTAGGTTTCCCTGGGATATGGCAAGCAAGCTTTGGCTGATACGATCCTCCAGGACCAGATTGCTTCCTTTCTCCATGTCTATCACTAAGGGCCTCCATAGTAAAGTCAACAGTTAGTCACTCCCCTACCTAAAATACTCCCCCCAAAAAACACAGTTTAAAAAAATAAATAACTGTAAATCCCCTCTCATTGTGTGCTAGCTCAGTGAAATTAAAGTGAGGTATGTAGTGCTGTGTGCAATGTGCAGAGAGAGGGCAGTGATCGAGGCAAAAGGAGAATCTATTAGCATTAATTGCTTGTCCATGTTACATGTCACCTAAAACATTTTAAATGAACCCACAGCTTTATAGGGAAGAGGACTAGGAAACCCATATTAATAACCAGTGCTATAGGGGATGGTGTCATTTCCCCTTTTAAAGTTTTCAGACTTTAAAAATGGTCACAAAAGTTTACCAGCCCAAGCACAAAATCTTTACTTTACCCATCCTTTACCATGATGACCTAGGTAATGGAACAACACCCCCCACCCCAAGGATATGTTACTTGCCCATCAGAAAAGTTACTCTCCTTGGATGAGTGGGTGAGTAGACTTCTGCAAGGCTGCTCTAGGAGATCCTCATCGTGGGCTTCAATGTTCCATTAATCAGCACCCACAGTGCTGGACCTAATGTACAGATGCCTTTGTATGACGGAAACGATGCAAACTAGTAGTAAACAAAGATGTAGAGTTACTTAGATGATTTGCCAAACAAAAACAAACATAAAAATACATAAAAGCAAAAACAAAAACAAAAAGCAAACATCGGTAAAGAAATCAATTGGGATTGGTTTGCAGGTTTGGTTCCAAAACGCAAGAGCCAAATTCAGAAGGAACCTTTTGCGGCAGGAGAATGGGGGTGTCGATAAAGCTGATGGCACGTCACTTCCGGCACCGCCCTCAGCAGACAGCGGCGCTCTCACTCCACCCGGCACTGCGACCACTTTAACAGACCTGACCAATCCCACTATCACTGTAGTGACATCAGTGACCTCTAACTTGGACAGCCACGAATCCGGGAGCCCCTCACAAACTACCTTAACGAACCTTTTCTAACATTTGAGTTTTTTTTAATTCTTATTCTTCTTTATTATTATTTACAAGACTCTTTATTTTTTTTTAAACAAACCCACAAAATATTTGGGAAAACAAACAGCTTGGTGTGTAGCATCTGCAGCCACTTGGCAAATGAGTTTGCAGTAATATGTCTCCATTATAAATGAACATATTTTGTCTATAAATTGTATTTGGATTTTTTTTAATTCATCAGACAATTGAAGGGAAAGTTATGATTCATTCTAATAAGTGCCTCTTAAAATTGTATGTTACTTATTTCCAGAATCTTGGGGGGGGGAAGAGAGGGAGAAGAAAATTATATTCCCAGTCTGATAATCCGAGAAAGCCTCTAACAGTTCATTTAAAGCCAATAGTTTGCTGCTCCAGGATTGTATGTGCATTTATGGAGTTTCAGAGTCCTAAGTCTAACTTTATTTTTATAATACATGTTTAAGTTTCATACTATGTATTTTTCACACCTACAAAACAAATCAAATTAGGAATTGGAATAGACAGAGGCATTCCAAGTGTCAATGCTTCTTCTTCTTTTTCTTCTTCTTCTTCTTCTTCTTTTTTGTTTGTATAAATATTAGTTATGAGCTTGACCCTGTATTCATTGAGCACCCAAAATTCCCATGCAGGTCAATAATCTCAACCCTGCAAGCCATTCATCCATGTGGAATGTCCATTGACACCAGTGGGAGTAGGGCACGGATGGAGGACTTGCAGGATTAGGCTCAATGGGACTGGTGTGTAGGTAAGGACTGCAAGATCAGGCCCTTGGTCTGTGAATTCTGAATTATGCGCACCAAAGGCCTTCATCCTGCAAACACTTATGCTCCAGAGTAACTTTACTCATGTAAGGAGGCTCACTAAAGTATACACCAGAGGAACTATTCAAATGAAAAGTCCCATTGATTTCAATGAGTTTTCTCATATGAGTAAGGTTACTCTGTTGCATCACTGTTTGCAGGATTGGGCCACAAGGCTGAATAATTCAATATAAGTTTTAGCATTGCCTAGGCAAAATTTCATTTTTTCCCACTCTGCCATAAATGCCACTGATTTTAATTAAAAAAAAAAAAAAGAAAACAATTCACTCTATATGGCCCTAATCCTGCATCATTAAAGCCAATGGGAGATTTGTCATTAACTTTAGTGAGTGTAGGATGAAGTTCTAAATGTATACATATCTTTATTACTAAGGCAATTCTCGATGAATTAAACTTTTTCAGGGAAGATGGAAATAAGCAAAATATAATTTATTAAGATGTTTAAGGAAACTGATTTTAGTACATTTTATTCATGCTATTTTGAATTTATTTTAGATGTTTCATGAGATTGTATCAGACACTTTGTTTAATACATGAACTTAAATCTTTAGTACATTAATATTTCTAATATATACTTTAGTTTTTTAACTTTTGTATAAAAGAAAAATGCATTAGAAGAATTCTTATGAAATTGGAATTGGCAGTGGGTAGCTTTGAGGCAGATAAACTCAGAAGACCTTGTGGATGCTGATCTAAATACATTTCCTAGTTTACAATAGCAATTTTTTTTTCTTTTTCTTTTTCTTTTTTTTCTTTTTTATTTCTTTTAATTAAGCTAAAAGTCTGAATGGTCTGGGCAGTGGTGAATGTTCATTTGTTCCCCTTTATTGTAGTTAAAAACAATTAGATTGTGGAAAGTCTGAGAAACAAAAACAAAAAACCAGTCAAGATCTACATCTTGCTTTTAGTGGATTGTTAAGAATAACTTTGCACATAGAATCCACTTTTTAGACCCCATCAAATCTCTCTTTTGGTGGTGAAAGTGGCTATTTAATATATTTTAAAGGTGTCCTTTTTGGCTGTATAAATGTGTGGTTACATATTGACAGTTCACTGCCCACATTAAAGTGCATTATTGTAACTTTTGCTCAGGGTTTTTAGAAAATTAGCACAGAAAAGTAGCTTATTTTTTAAAAAAAAAGATGATGGAAGAGATGTTAACACTGTAATAGAAGAAAGGTGTGTTTGCCATTATATATTTAGCAAGTATGGTTATCATCTTCTATGGAGCTTAAATCTTGACTTTTCCTATTTCTATTACCTTATGGGCATTTACCACTAACCAGACCAAACAACCTTGGTAAGGCTGAGATCTTTATTAATACACTTTTACAGGTAAAAATATTGATACTTATAAATTTTGTTCTTTGACAGAACAATATATGGTACTATAGATCTACTTTATTAAGTAGACTAATTATAACTCAGTTCTACTATGTGCCTTATGATATAACTTGGGAGTAAGTTTGTGAAAAATCAGGATATATGTGTTGTTTGTTAAATTAACTGTTTTAAGCCCTTTTGACACCTCACTAGTTTTGTACTGTTTTACCTCTTATTTCTGAAACTCTTTTTATGGTGTATCCTGTTAGAGGGGACAAACATGTCATAGAAAGCAGTTGTGCACTCTTTCAGATATAGTTGATAAATTCAATAATCTTATATATTGAGCTTCGTGTTTATAGTACAGTAAGTGGTCTAGCAAAATTGTCCATGTTTCTTTGTTTATTGATAAATGCATTGTATAGAAACTATTTCCCCTAAATATTTATGGACCAAACAATTGTGATATATCCTATTAAATTTGTGTGAATAAATCATTTTGGATCCAAGGAGTTTTATTTCCCATCATTTTTTTTTTAATTTAAGTCTACCTGTATCTATGTGTCTCTGCATTTTTACTATGAATGAATGAATGAATGAATGAATGATGTTAAACATGGGAACGCAATCTTATAAATGTGATTTCTTTTTAGGTTTTCACTTTCTTCATAGTAAATGTACTTACCATTGATGGCGCAACTTAGGTTTTAATTTTTAAACCCCCCCCTTTTTTTTGCACATGAAAAGTAATGCCCCACTGATTTGATATTGCAACCTTATCTTAGGATTTTAAAAATCAGATAACTAGCAGCTACAGTAATTGCATGAAAAATATAACAAATAATTATGATGAAATGAATCAAGATTTAATGCTAGGTATATTGAACACAAACTAGAATTGCAGACCCCTAAAAGCCAGGTTGCTCTGTAGTTTAATAAATTGTCACTATGATTTCTTTCAGGGAGAACAAATCTTGGGGCATTACAGCCAAACATCCCGACGTTTGAAAATTCCCTAAAGTATTAAAAGAAGGGGAAAAGTTTGATCGGAAATCCACTGCAGTGAAGACAAAGACAATATTAGGTTATGATAATCATATATTTAAAAAAATTTTGAGCCAAAAACATTTAAAAAATAAAATAAAAGACTCAAATGTCATTTCCTGAATGTTAACAAAACATATGTTATTTTATGGTGTTTAATTATCAGAACAAAAGGCTTAAACAATTTGTGTGGTATTAAAAACAAATTTAGAGAAACTGTGTATAAAACCAGAGCAACCTGGCAGCAATCTACCCAGCCCATATTTGAAGACAATTCTTCTTAAAAACAAATTAAAAATCACATTTGTCAAGCACAAGTACTTGTAAAATAAAATCCGAATGCTTTCATTCCACCTGCTTGCTAATGTGTATTAGTCATATCTGTTAAATGGCATACTGTAAATTCAGAGAAAAAACTTTTCACTCATTTAAGATCATAGGGATCAAAACCCAGTAATTTTAGTACGATTGTTTCTGACTTCTTCTTTTTAATAAAACAAAGAAATCTGCATGCACTTTTCCATCTGTCACCAATAGTGTACATTTCTGTATGATGAATTTTCTCTTTGATGTTTCTTGTATAATAAATAGCTTTCATTAATAAACATTTTATTTGATGCAAACATAGTTAACTTTATGTAAACACATAGCTAACTGTTGAAATTAATTTAAACTCATTTTTTGAAAAGAAGCAGTACAGTACATTTCCATCATGTTGTATATAGAAAACAAAAAGAATGAGGTGGCAATATTGTTGCAAAGTGTAAAACAATTTCCTTTGGTGTTTAAATTTTTCATTTTCTTCTCTTCATTTGTTGTGTACAATTGACATATCTAAAACAAAATTAATAATAATTCCATCAGCCTCAACAACAAAACTAACAAAGTAAAATCAGCATAGGAAAGCATATGCAGTATAGTATGCAAAACCATCAATGACTTTTTAGAATACAAAGGTATAATTTATGGAACCCTGAGACGTTTACATCTTCACTATGCAATGAACAAATTTGTTGAACTGTTAAGAAAAGGCTGTCCTAAGAAAGAGTTGATCTTTGCCCATTCCAAATCACAGCTGAGTTTAACAAGCCAACAAGCAAGTGTAAAGATAACCAATTCTTTAGTAATGAGGTTTTGTAATTGTTCAAAGGACTATTTGCAGAAAGTTTTTTTTAAACTATATTGCTATTTAGCTATATATCCAAAGCATATGTTAAACAAATTAACATATACGAGACTTGCCAGAAAATCTTTTCATTAAGATGAAATTTTTATTATATAGAAATGAACCCTATGTAAACAATGTAACTTTTATGAATACTGACAGACATTAAATATTTCACTTACATGTATCCTCAGCATTTTGAATGTTTTCTTAAACTCTCAGTTTCTGAATACTAAAGAGAAAACTCAAACAAGTCCAGTACATACTATTATTAACAACATAACACAAAATTGCACACAGATTACTTCAATAATCTTCTGAAGACCAGTATGTAGAATCCACAAGCTGCAGTTAGTTATCATTTACTAGTGGCAATTATGGTGAATATTGTTTAAATAACCCTTTTACAGTATGTGGTAAAATACTGTTGAAAAAAAATTAGCACAGAGGATTTAGTTAAAATCAGCTTGAGAATTTAAACTCTATTGTGAAATCCTTAAACTGTGTTGCTGTATGAAGCAACTCAAGGTAAAAAAGCAATGAGTCATATCACATCATACTATTGGTTCTTTCTGCTGTGTTTAGAGAAATAATGCAATTACAAAAGTTAAGAAATTGATCTAACCAGTAAGAGA